TGAAATCAGAGGTACAGTTTTTAGAGTGTAGACGTCTCCGCCCCCAATGGTGCGATGAAAGAAGGATGTGGAAGACAGAATGGACTGAAATTACCTTTACTGACGAGTCACGCTTCTGTCTGCAACACCACGATGGTCGCATTCGAGTTTGGAGACACCGTGGAGAGAGGATGCTGAACAGCTGCGTTATGCACCCCACACTGGTCCTGCACCGGGTATTATGGTATGAGACGGTATTGGATATCCCTCTCGCACTTCTTTAGTACACATTGCCGGTACTTTAAACAGCCATCGCTACATCTCCGAGGTGCTGGAGCCAGTTGTCCTTCCTTACCATCAGAGCTTGCCCACAGCCATATTTGGACAGTATAATGCACGACCACACGTGGCACGCATTGTCCAAGGATACTTCGTCAATCGCCAGATTGAATTGCTTCTATGGCCAGCTCGCTCTCCGGATCTTTCGCCGATAGAAAACACGTGGTCCATAACTGCTCAATGATTGACCCAGATTACATCCCCAGCTGCCACACCAGATCAACTTTGGCAACGCGTGGAAGCTGCTAGGTTTGCTGTACCCCAAGAACACATCCAAAGTCTTTTTGAATCCATGCCGAGGCGTGTGGCAGCGGTGATCTCCTACAATGGCGACTACTCTGGCTACTGATTTTTACAAGAACCACACTTCACGAAAGTCTATAAATTTAATTATTTGATACTTGGTCAACATGTTATCTACAAAATAAATTTTGTTGTGATATATCTTGCCTTTTTTGGTGTTGAAATTTGGGTGGCCAGCAGTGTATAAAGAAGGGACGTTGGGTCTTTATTTAAGACAGGTTTTGGCTCGAGTTGGTGAGAGAAAGGGAATCTGTAATTCGCTATTTCTTGTTTCCATAGCAGCAGCCAGTTTCAGCCCTCGTTGCAAGGCCAGTTTTATCTATAGACAAACTATGCTTTACTCTACAAAAACAATTTGTTACTGGAAAAATTTCCCCATGCTGGAAAGAATTTTTTGAAACAAAAAATTTAAAAGTAGGTAGCTGTACAATATAATTTAAAAATAATGTTATTCATTGCCATAATAATTCCTTAAATATGTATGCTTAATTTTACAGAAACAAACGAACATGATGAATGGCAATCGATTTCATTTTATTGGCCATAGCTATGGAGCTTATATAATAAACGAAGCTGCAAGATATATATTCGAAAGAGAACCACAAAATAAAATCCGAAGACTGACTTGTAAGTGAAAGTACGACGGTCTTTTCATCAGCTTTTGTGGTGTCTCTTTACTTTTTGAAGCTGATTCTAAATACCAAATGTAAATGCTTAACATGTTCTTCAAGAAACCCTTCGTGAGTTAGATCATTTTAAAGAATGAAGTTTAAACTTCATTAAAAGTCGAATTGAAATAACATTATAATTAAGAATTTTCCCCAAATTTAATTTTGCATTATGAAATAAAATTTAATAACGAATGATGATATGTTAAAATTATCGCACACAATGTCGGGTTTCAATAATTCTTGTTTTAAAATACGAAATGAAATTTGTAGAAAACCTCTTATTGTTTAAAGCTCTCTTTTAAAAAGTACCAAAACTACTTAGAAAATTGTTTGAAACTTTTTAAAAAAGATATTCAAATCAGACTTTTTTCATTTGTTGACAAATGCGATTCGCAGCAAAGCTGTGGAAAAAACATTTTGATTTTTACATGTGCTGTACTACTTTAAATACTCATATTTCGAGCAGTTTTTAGCGAATTTTTTACAAATTTTAAAACAGTAATTTTATAATTAATTTCAAATCACTCCAAAAATTTTGCATAATTTCATTTGCATAAGAGCCATAAAAAAACGTAAAATTAATCTCTTTAAAAGAAATTTCCGTATATTTATAAATATTTAAGGTTTACGAAATTTTATAATAGTTATCCCAAATAACAATCAAAGTAATCTATACAACCTTATTGCCATAGAAATCTTCAAAATTACTTGTTTTCTTTCTTAAACTAATGACATTCAATCAAACCTCTGAAAGCTTTAAATAGCATGGACTAAACAATTTCTAAAGTATTTCTTGAGAAATTTTCAAAAAATATCCAAAACTGAAAGTCTCTCTTCCATTATTGTACGATAGTGTATATTACAAGTGGGCAAATACAGTACAAATAAAATAATTTTGAATGATGTCTGTTAATCAGCCTAGTACGTAGGTATATCCATACAACACAATTCATCTAGTGTCCTTACGGAAAAATTGAGGTAAAAATGAGGCATTTTTCAAAGGTATAAATGGGGTTGTTATATGAATAAGTCGTTAGGTTGAGTAGAGTGCAAATGAATACCCCAAATTTTACCTTAAATATACCTCCAGAGGTATAATAAAGGTAAATTTTGGGGTGAATTTATGTATCAACCTGAGGTGTTTCATCTTATATCAGTGGATAGGTAGATACTTACAACTTTAAGATATTTCGTTTTCAACCTTAAGTTATTTCTTATCAACCTGAAGTATATATTTTTACGCCTGTGGAAGTATTTATTGAACAACCAAAGGTTAACTTAACACTTCAGGTTATTCTGGATCTTTCATATACCTCAATAAATACCTGGTTCTCTTTAGTTGAAATAAGATTCAAAAAAATTTTATACCTCATAAATACCTCTTATCTTACAAGTGTCAGGTAAGCAACTTGGTATACCAAAGAAATCACCTCATCAATCTGATTGATTTGAAGTGAATTTTAAACAACCTGAAAATAAGCTAAGTGTACGTAAAACATTCTCGTACACCTCAATTGCAACCTTTATGAGGTATAATTTTTCTGATTGTTTTCTTACCAATCTTAAATACACCTCATGTATACCTCAAAATTACCTTCACACCTCAAAACAACATCAAAAATACCTTACATTTTCGTAAAGATAGACAGCTGGAATTCGTCCACATTAGAGCCCCTGAATTAGACCTGATAGTATAGGAGCCTTAGTCCACATGATTCATTAGACGCATCGTAACGAATATCAATTTCTACTAGAAGTTTTCCTATAGCTTATTTATGGTTAATCCACAATGGAGTAAGTACAGACACCCTACAGATAACTATGGTGCACATAATGTGGATAAAACACAAGGTGAACCTTAGAAGACGTCTACGAAATGAGGTGAAAAGGTGAACCTTAGAATGTTTCAATAGTCGAAAATTGGACGTAAGATGAAAGCGAAATGTTTGCTTGAGGAATCAACACATTAAATAAATACTGTTTAGATTTTATACATAATGCTGTTTATTTAAATTTGGCATCAAATATTGACGATGCTTATGGCACAAAAACAAAATAAAAGGAACAAGAAAAGCAATACCTGAATTACGAAAGAAAGTTGATGATAGAAATTTCAACCTTTTTTTTCTAGGTTTGGGTAAACAATATTTACTTTTCACGTAAGAGTGAAGCGTAATGAATGGTTTGAAGAATAAACACATTAAATAATTACTATTTACATTTATTTACAATTATACATAACTCGTTTACTTTAAATGCGGCATCAAATATTTACGATGCAAAAACGCAAGGATAAAAATAAAAGAACAATATTAAAATGCAATTCTAAAATGCAAGAATTAAAGTTGTAGTAAAAACAAACTTAGAGTTCGGAAATAATAGGAACAATTTATGCAGAATATGATGAGTGATGTCATGCTGCTTCAAGAGCAAACGATTTGCTTCAGTTCATTTTTTGTTCCAATAGCATAATTATTTTTGGGTGTTCTTACAGCTCCAATGTTGAGTCTAAATTGTTCCACTCATATTATTCCACTAAGTTCAAGTATTTTTCGAGTTTAACGTGATGAATCAGTAATATACTATTATCATTTATATGAGACGCTTCGTTTGAGCCAATATACCAAATTGACAATCTGAAAATATTGACGAGTTAAAGAAAGCTCGAACACAATAACGAAAATTATTCTCTAAGGCTTGTAGTGATTATGATAAAGAAGAGTCTAGTTTAAACTGCAATGACAAGTTAATGAAAATTAAATTCATTGGAATAAAAAGCGAACTTATTAATAAACACTGAAATGAAACTCTGAGATAATCTTAATGCTAGTGAAGTTGATGAAGCAACATGCGAGGCTGAAGTCTGAATTTGATGAATCGGAAACGTATATTAATCGTTGGCGTCTTTTAGGACAGAAACTTATAAAATTTGCAAGTTCTGAGAAAGAAGATTCCGTATTTTTGAAAATGCTTTGTCAAGGTTTTCGTTGTTACGTTATCCTAAAACTATCCTTCCAATTTTCAATGAAGATTTTCGTATCTATCATTACAGGGGAGTTAATTAAAAGTTTTTCTCCTGGTAGAGATAGCTAGGAAAAAGCTATCGGCCAACTTAAAAGTAGATCTTGCCGACCGGTCTGTGTAGGGGGCAAGGAACTGTCCTTGCATCAGAAAGGTCCTGGGTTCGAATCCCGGGCAAGGCAAGGATGTTTCTTTCTCTCTGTGTGTGTTCTATGTCCTTTCTCCTTTGTGTGTGAATGTGACCCGCCCTATAAACGGGTTGTGGTTGTGTGAATGGCGTGGCAGAACTCGAATTCCTGGTCATAGATGGCGCCACTGAAAAACAGGTACAATCGCACCCCCACTGCCTAAACAGGCATACGACAAAAAAAATTAGATCTTGAAGAGAGATTTATTGATTCCAGTTTCTGTGACAGATCGACTTCATGTTCTGTGAAAAGATAGCAATCAAAGAAAATCGCAGAGGGGACATAAGGATTTATTAGAGACTAAATTGCCTGTGAAAGTGTTTTCATGCATATGTACACGTATCTGTATGCATACATTTATGTAAGTATAGTATATATGCATGGACATACATGCGTGTATGGTGTGCGTGATTTTTCTACGTTGATTTTAATTTGGTATTTTTTTATTGTTAACAGTAATAATTTTCTCCAATTTTCCTGTGTAAATACGCTTACTCTAAACTGTGTCATTAGTTTTGAGTTTTATATTTACTTACTATTGTCTAATTTAGTCCTCGTTATTGATGTTGTTTTTAGAAAACACCATTTTTATTATTTTAAATAATAAATTAATGCAATTATTTATTTAATTTTTTGTCTGCTACTATCTTATCACATGTCTTCGGAAGTGCATTCGGTAGGAGAAGCAATAGTGATTGACGAAAATGAATAGAAGATTATTGATATTGTTGCCGATCCAAGGGTACAGAATCCATTTGAGAAATTTTATGATCTTACAATAAGTTCTTCAAAACAGAAAAACATTTTACTAATTTAAACAAATTTTTTTGAGATAAAATTTAACTCATATATTTTTTATGTAACAACAGTCTTGGACCCAGCTATTGTTCCTATCAAAGATGGTGATCCTGCAAGAAAATTCAGAGCCGAATATGCTCAATTTACTGACGCCATTCATGGGGACGCAGGAAGATGCTTCCGTAAGTGACAAAAATTGTATAAGTTTAATAATTCTTACTTTATATTAAAGCTATGTGTCTGGGTGGCGGAGTTGGTTTGTCGTCGGCCTTCTGAGCCCAAGTCTGCGGGATCGATCCCCGGCCGGATTTTCCGGATGCAGAAAATCCTTAGCGGCCATGTCGTATGATTATGTGGCATGTAAAAGATCCCTGGCGTGCCTTATTGGCTCTTGGCATTTCCGGCAAAATTAAATTCCTAGTGAACTTTAGCATCCAAATAGAGTCTCGGTGCTGCCATCTAGTGTGGCAGAAACTAGACGTCCAAATTAACATGGCCACCGGTATCTCACCCATTGTGGTGGTCCTGAAAGAATGGATACCACTTCTGGAGAACGCACTAGATCTGCTCATCGGAAAGACTGATTGTGCATAGGAAATAAAAAAAAACAAATCTTAAAGCTATTGTATAGAAACTTGTATTTTGACTTTCATGAAAACCCGGAAAGTACCAGTGTAAACTTAAAATCTGGAATAAAACTTATTTACAGGTTTTACAGAGCTAAAAGTACGCTGTTCGTAGCAGTTGAATGTCACCTTCTGTTAAAGCTTACCTTCGAATTAACAACATGGGCATTTCATATTTAGATCAAGAAGAACGTCAACACAAAATGAAGATGGGGGATTCCTTATTTCTAAATATTAAAATGAATCCTGTGATTTTACAACAATTAATTGATATTATGAAAAAATGATTTGTTTTTACTTAAAATTATGATTGTATAATTGAATTAAAATCATAAGGAACAAGATATTTTTTCATTATTTTAAAATAGAATGTATTTTATTTTAATTATACTATTCATGTTGGAAGAAGTTCAACTTCCACAATATCTATGTCCATTTTAAAAGTTTGTTTTTATTTTAAGGTCGATAGGTTGTGAGTTTGTATAGTTGAGATGATACTCAACTATACAACTATTTTAACTTAGGGGTTTTCGCAATGTTCAACTATACAACTATTTCAACTTAGGGGTTTTCGCAAACTCTTATTTATTTTAACGTAAGTAATATATTTTTCACTGGCTCATGTGTCTTTTACCATTCGCAATCCCTTCAACGAAAGAGTGCGGAATGTGGAGTAAAAATACAAAATCTTCGTTGCACGAAAAATTAATTTATTTGTACTTAGAATATTTGCTTAATTAAATAATAAAATCCTTACTTTTAAGGAATCATTTTTTTTCTCTATAAGCTGCCATTTTGTTAGTCCGACATCAGTGGACACGATAATTTCTTCAATCATCAATATAAATTGAAAACCTATCAGTAAGTTATCTTAATTAATGCAGTATCCGTTGCACGTGAAATTACTTTATTTGTATTTAGATTTTTTGTCAAATTAAATTTTAAAATCTTTACTATTAAAGCATTTTTTTTCAAGCTGCCATTTTGTTAGACCAGGCACTCGATCATTTATTTCTTCAATCATAGTCAACCAATTGAAAACCAGTCAGCATATTTATTCAGAAATGCAGTGACCATTACACTTACGATAACTTTATTTATATTTTTAGTATTTAATTTAATTTCGAGAAACATTACATACTATCTGTTATACAAGTTTTAATTTTGTTAGGCCAATAACCTCTCGATCACTGATAACTTCGGGTAGAGAATATTTGAGGGTGCCCCTTGATTCTCGCCAAGTTGTGATCGCGGTTGATCGCCAAGCTGGGCGATGTTGAAACCCAATCGTGATTCTGATTGGTTTAGATTTTAGCGATATTTTGAAATGTTAATCTGTATATGTAATTTCAGACGTTCGTTAGTTCTAAGTTGGATACCGGCTGGTAAGGTTACTTTTGAATCTGGTCAATAAGATCGAAGGTATGTGGGCAGTCATAAAAAGGGATTTAAGAAAAAAATGTCACCGCTAGTCCGGTATTACAGACGCCATTTTCGATTCATATTTCGTCGCCATGAATGAATGTCGCCATGAATTTATGTGGCCATGAATGAACACAAATTCTATTCATGATAAATTTAGAAAGTATCTAACTGTTATTAGATAATTCTGTGCACCTAAATCTGAGAATATTCAAGCTTAATGAAGAAATGAGTTTTTTTTTTCCTTTTCTTGCTGGGCCTACCCCAATAATTTTTGCTTCGATTCAAAATCCTTAGTTTTATTAATTTTGCTTATATTAGGTTCATTGCAAGTTTTGGCCGATGTTTTGATGAAATTTTCCAATGTTTTATAGAAATATCATTCTGGCTGTCATTCCTGTTACCACGGTGTTCCGCGCAAACAGGAATAGCGCCAAACATAAGTCGCCAATTTCGCCAAGGGGCACCCTCAAGTATATTTTTCCCATAACTTCTTCAATTATCACCACTTTCTATTTGAAATCTATCAGCAGTTTTTTTAACCTGCTTATATATTTCATTTTAAAAAATCCTTGCTATTAAATGAGTTAAGCTCAAAAAATTTTTTAAAGTTTATGAAATAAGTAACACCTAACTCAATATTTATATTATGCTACTAATATACGTTTTAGGACATGATTTATCTTTCGAAACTATTTGTACTCTGAATTCTCACAGTAAGATAATTATATTTTTGTTATATTGTATAAAAAAAGAAAAGAAAATAGTTATTTTCTTTCTTTCTTCCTGTGTTATTTTTGCCAAGATGTATTACGTTATTGTACCAGATACTCTTTGAATTTATTTTTTTTTGTCATAAATTCATGTATTTTTTTCCAGCTGTCAGCTTAGGATTATTCAATACTTTTGGACATGCTGATTTTTACCCAAATGGAGGTGCTTTTCAAATATCTTGCTACTCTTACGCAGTGACATCTTTATTAAAAGGAGATTTTTTTTACGGTAAGTAATGGAATTAACAGAGTTCATGCGTCACTTACATGCTTTTTTTCTTTTTTAATTTTCTAGCTCTCATCTGTGGATTATTCAATACAATTCTGTTTGAATACTTTGCCTTGAAAATCTGTAACGTTAGATATTTTTAATTTAGCTCAATTCTAGTTTATTTTGATCAGGTTAAATAGGATTTTTTTGCTTTGCATAGTTTAATATTTATTTGCCATTAGAAAAATTCAGTTGATTGTGATGGTAAGCGTATCAAGTAATTTTGCTGCATGGAGTTCACTTTTATAACCTAGCAAGTGAGTCTCATTTAGACATCAACGAGTCCTAAAAAACGTTTTAGTCCTGTAAAACTGTGCAAGCACTCTATTTTTTGTTTTTAGTGACTTTTTTAGAATTTATTAAAGAATGACACAAGAGGGTAACTGCACTGTCAACACAGTGATGCACAAGGATATCTAACTCGATGTAAAACTGTCTGAACGGATAGCAATGAAAATCAGGGAAGCCACGAAAGTTGTTGGTTGAAGTTTTAATTTTAAGGTTATAAAAAGAACTTTAAGAAGCGTTAAACTTCGAAAAAGTTTTAAAATTATTTAAAACCTTTCAATTTTGGTAACAATTATATCCTGATATTTATCGTCCAATATATTGATAGGATTTTTTTTTGTATGCCTTTACAAAGCGATTGTCTGAATAAAAATATAATTAGGTTAACCTATGTTTCCCCTGTTAGTTAGCATGACAAAAAAAATTACAAGGAATGTTAGAAATTTGATTCAAGTAACCTTTTAATGATTGATATGTATACATGTTCGTAAGTTCCAACTATATTTTTCTGGTTGCTTTGGTGCCTTCCTTCAGCAATCACATATTTTAAATGAAGGAAATCTGATTTTATTTTGAAATTTTCTCCAGTATGTATCTAATATGTATTAACTAGTTCGACTAATTAGAAGCTAGTTCCTAAATAGTGGAATACGGAAATATTTTGTGGATAAACTGAAAATTGTTCTAAAAGGGGTGGTTTTGGCCAAATATGGATATCAAAAGTTCGAAACCAACCACTGTCTTGAATTTCCTGAGGGTTATTGGGTGTCTATACAATGGGAAACTTAAATATTAATATCTCTAGATATGTGAGATTTTTTTTCCTTGTGTGTTTTTTTTTCAGCTGAATTAATTGGCACCAAAATTAAGTCGTTAGGGCTAATAATTAAGAGAGTGTAAGAGATTGAGTAGGACCGAAGTATAATAAAAAGTGAAATTTTTTTATTATACTTATTTACACATTTGAAACACCTATCTAGGCATACGAGGTATTATTTCTTAATATTTTTTAAGATTTATTTCCTACTTTCTTATGTAATTTTTAAGAGGGATTGAATGTGATAAAAATAAATTCAATGAGACTAAATAATTCAAAAATTATCAAAGAATTTATGCATAAAAATGACAATTTTGTTCATATAAGTATCTACCCCCTGATACTGCTTTGTAGCAAGCGAAGCAATACAGAAAAGAATAGTATACATATGTAACTTTTAATCTCAATTATTAGACCAAAACCAAGTCGATGAGAACAGTACTAGTTTATAACAGTTTAGAACTAGTCTTTAGGTCCGGAAATTTTGTTTCTTAGCCCCTTAACGATCGGTTAATTTTCAAGAAAACGGTCATAAAGGTGCCTATTTTTTTTTGGCTTTTGTGTTTGTATTACGCATTTGATTAGTGCTAACATCTAGATTAAAATAAACTAACTATCTACAATTACCTTAAAAATATCCTGGTACTGCCGTCTGGTGTGTAAAATGTGAAATAAATTTTTTTCCGGGCAAAAGAAATGAAATAGTTTTATTCTTATTGGTGCGTTACTACTGAACACTCCAGCCCGTCAATATCACGGGAGCGAGAAATAGAGGGCGAAACCTCATCCCGCCGGAAGGGGTTAAGATATTAGGCCATACAAAAAAAAATTTCGCCTCTATTTTATAGCATTTATAAAAAATATTAAAAAAATTTCAAATGTTAGCAGATTACTGAAATAATAAAAGAATATAGGAACATATTTATTGCCATAATAATAATATTACATCAAAATAAGGTTGTCCTAAGACTTTAATGCTACCAGAAATAATAGTTTTGATGGCGAAAAGTGGATAAACCAGTGTTTTTTGTACTAAATAGAAGAAAATTACTGCCACTTGATTTCAGAACGATTTCCAACACCGATGGGTACAGACAATAATATTCTAATCTACATTGTTTAATTTAAAACTTAACATTTTAAGAGATTTAATTTACAGTCATAATTATTTAACTGCCGATGGAGAGCTGGCGAGGGAAAATTTTCCCCCCTGGTTTAGAAATTATGAGTTTCAAGTATTAAAATTATAATTTTTTTATTTATGCCTTTTTTCATACAAAACTCCAAAAACTTTTAAATTATTAGTCTTTTATCTTGCCTCCGGTGACATTCGAATTAGCGCAAAACAATACAATGGAATCAATACCTCATTTGTCTAGAAAGTATAAGTTTTTTCCCTTTTAATCTCCTATGTCCACCTCGGAGCTCACTTCGAGGGATGGGGAAAACCTTAGATTTCAATATTGGGTCCAAGTCGACCGGCCTGCGTAGGGGTCAAAAAACTGGCCTTGCATCAGAAAGGTTCTGAATTCGAATCCCGGGCAAAGAATGGATGTTCTTTTATTCTCTGTACTATCTGTCCTTCCTATGAGAGCAACGTTGGTCTAACTGAAAATGGTAATACTGAAAAAGTGGCCAACAAGTATGCCCTTCAGATGCCTGTATGACAAAAGGACAATTGGGTATAATATAGCCTACGTCACAGGTTGTGTTGTTCCTACTAAATTTAACCCATGAACGGCATTTTCTGCGAACCTAACTTCAAGCCACAAATAAACAAACGAAGTGTTCGATCGTTTAAATAGCTGCTCGCCAGATTTTATTGCATTATAAAGAAAAGTTATTGAAACTAAATACAACTAAATAAACAACAACAACTAAAACAAATAACAACAACTACTAATAACAATAACTAAATAAACAACAACTAAATTCCATTCGTTTAGCATTGCGTCATATGTTGTTCCTACTAAATCGAAGTAGTTGTGTTTTTTTTCATATTATACCCAATTGGGAAAAAAAATATATTGGGCCTAATTCACGACTTTCGAACAACTCCCAACTTTCCCCTTATCATTTCCGTATTAAACTAAACTCAGTGGCTCGACAGCCCATAGTGGGCCAGGGCCTACTGTGCCCATCTCAGTTTTCTTGAAATTGGGCTCTGAGGTGCAGGAGCAAATGTTCCTGTTAGATGGTCAGCCAAACACGAAACCCCCAGTGTTTAGTTCCCAAGCATGCTTGGTACTCATTTATCGACCCACTGAAGGGATGAAAGACTGAGTTAACCTTGCCCGGCCCAAGGATCGAACCCAGGACCTGTGGCACGGGAGCGCGAAGCTGTACCACTCAGCCACAGTGCGTAATCATTTCCGTATTGATCTTTCTTTTTATCGTAGGAACTGGCTTATAAATCATTCTTTGTGTTTTAGTTTTTCAATAATTCCATTAAAACACATCGATTTTGTTTTAATAGCTTTGGCCTCATTCATATACCCTCCACTATGCTCACATCTGCAAGCAATTCAGTATTTTAAAGTATCGATCAACCATCCTCAGGGCTTGTACATTGGAGCTGAGTGCAAAGATTTCCAGAGCTTCCTGTCTGGTGATTGCTACAGATGTTGCAAAAAAGACTTTTCAAAGTGCGCAGTAATGGGAATGGATGCCGAAAAATATTTTCCTCATTTGCATGAACCTAAAAAAAACAGGATTTATTTCCTAAACTTGGGTTTGGAATGTCCATACAATGGTAAGAGGTTTATTTTAAAGTTTAAAAATAAATTCAAATCACAGCGTCACCAAAAATTATGGTATAAAAAAGTGATTGTTTATCTGAATACGATTAGTGATCACGAAATAAATAAAAAAAATACACAACGCGCTTCGGAAACCACCCCGTTTATATAAAAAAAAAATTTTAAATTCTTACTTAAAAATTAACAGATTATAATAAATAAATTTCAAACATAATTATTATTTAAGCAAGAGAAAAAGGACATCAAAAGTCTATGAGAAAAAATAAACATAAGGTTGAAATCTTGTCTCTGTCGAGATGCTAAGATTAAAGCCATCAAAAACCTGTTTATTTGTCTGATAAAATTTCATGTCGTTTCCAATAGCCGCCTTCCTCCACCTCTTATAGTTTCCCTCAGAAATCACACTGTATAACAAGTTTCAACTTATATTTTATCCTTTAAGACCTGGTTTCTTAGGACAAGAGCCTTATCTGGGCGTTAGCGTTAAGTTGACGTTACCCTGACGCCAACAAAATGCTGTTTTGTTAGCTCAGCTTGAGCAGTCGGTCCAACGCAGACATTATCTCGCATTGCGCATGAGTTAATAACGTAAACAAATATTTATTTTAAATTAGTATTGATTTTGTTATTGTCGACCAGTGCTTTAGAGAAAAAATAATGACTTTGTCCAAGAAAAAACACATTATAGCTTAGCTAAATGAAGAAGAAGCTCTGCTTAATGTTAAAATCAAAATCTTGGCTGATTTCAGTGCTCTGTTGGCTGTTGTCCGCCATTGCTTCTGTCGTTAACGTCACGTTGTAATCTAACTGCTGTTGATTTGGACTGCAGTTGTCGTTCAAGCTGAGAGTTCGATGACGTATGCTGTCAAACTCACAAATTAACCAAGCAGAGGTTAGCGTTCGCTTGAAGCTGACGTTTTGCAACGCCAACTTGTCCTAAGAAACCAGGCCTTTAGAATAAACTATGTGGTTCTGTATAAACAAAAAATGGTGGAATCATACATATATAAGAAACAAAATGATCCATTACGTATTATTTTTGAAGGAGGAAAGTTCCTTGAGAATTCTGAGATACTAGTTAATGCATCTAGATAGAGCCTCAAAACTTCGGAAAGACTTTTGTAACCAAAAATATCACCAAGATCGCCAAGATAATCAAAATGTTGGCGACAACCCCATTGTCGATAAAAGCATGTTTCCCTTGCTTGTAATTTTTTATTGTCCCAAAAATGAGGATTTTGTGGGAAATAGTAGTAGTACATGTTAAACAGAAGAAAAAAATTTCTGATTCGTTATTTTCAGCTAAAAGTTTATGCAAAACGCATATTTTCCTCTAAAGGACATTTTTCATGTTGTACAATAATAATAAGTAAACAGGTTTTCTTCTTCTATCTTTTTTCTTTTTATTTTTTTGCTTGATTTTTTTGATTTCATACTTTTCCCGTTTGTAATGTGTCGTGTTTTAATGACGTTTTTGCTCATTTTTCGCTTAGGTACTAATTTTCGACTCAAAATGTCTCCCACTCGGCAATATCTTTCGCAGCTCGTAAAATGCAATGTTGCCATAAGAGATATGGAAGATGTCCAAAATATATCAACAAAATTAAAGATAAAATGTCTCGCAAAGTACTCTAAGGATACAAAAATCTAAATTCACACATGATATACCCCTGGGAGGGTACTTATAACTCTTAAGCAAAATCCTCTAATTTTTTTTAATTTCAGATTAAGAGTTTCCAGAAAAAAGTAGTACCTTTAATTTGATAATAGCAGTGCCTCAAGGGATTGAGCATTCGCCTCCCAATGAAGTGAGACTGGTTCGAATCCCAGCGATGGCTGGTTGTAACGAATTCCGCACCCGGCTCGCACCAACCACAGTGGTGACATAAAAATATTATCAGTGGTAGACGGATCATGGTTAGAGACCCCTTGCAGTCATGCTAACCATGGGAGGTTTTCGTGGTTTTCCTCTCCATGTAAATCAAATGCGGGTTAGTTCCAACAAAAAAGTTCTTCAAGAAGGCAAATTTCTCCCAATACTTGATCTACAACTTTCCTTGTTTTCTGGATTGGGCTCAAAATTACAATTCCAATAAAGTGGCCCCTTAATTTTCTTTTTATTTTCAAGAAAGGTATAATGCGATTGAATCATATTTTATCACCAAATTTTACAGACCCCAGATGATTTTTAAAAAAAAACTAAGCATAAAAATTTTTATTAAAAAAATTCAGCATAATGCACAATTTTCTGTTCTCAGATTTTTTTCAACTAAATAAAATGTGAAAAACCCATAATGATATCACGGTTACTCAGTATTTTGAGTTACGAAAAATAAACGCAAAAATAGACACAAAAGACTAAAATGTTTGATTAAATATGATTTAACAACTTAAATTTTTATTCCATCAAAATTGATATTCTATGTTCAATCAATTATATTTCATTCAATTATATCACAATTGTTTTAAGAAAATTAATAAATCATTAAAAAAAAGAATAATATCATAATTTGTAGAAAAACGAAATATTCCAGTTTATTTTTCTTTTTTATTTTAGAAGATTACGAATTCAGTGTTTTCCGTGACTGCTAAGGAAAATATTTTTTGAGAAACTCAACTATGGCTTAGATTGATGTGTGTAAGTTACTACTATTTAAGAAAATTGTAATGTTTTATATAATATGACATTTTGTTATGTAATTTAATTTATAATATGTAATATTATGAATTATGTAATTTCTGGTATTGAAGTGTATTCTTATTTAGAATAAAGTGCATCTAATTATAGTTTAAAATTTTTTCAGTCAAATGTCCACAAGCTCAAAGTTTAAAATGTCTGTGTTGTGAAATGACTGAAATGTGTAACTCAATAGTGTAAATTATTCAAATGTTCATGTATTTATGTGTTAATTTTAAATCATTTTATAGCGTGTAATATAAACGTAATGCAATGCACAGAAACTATTTTTTTATGTAGATAATGTTATAACATATGCTGGAATTTGCGATTTAAATTATAGAATTGTATATTTCTTTTAAATAGTAGTAACTGTTACAAAAGAATTACTTAATAAAAAAAATAAAAAAAATATTTTTAAAAACCACGTTTTTGTAGTGGAGAATAATAATTAAAAAACAAAAATTTGAAAAACGAAAAACGCGGGGAGCATGAAATACATAACAGTAAGTGTGGTCATGAGAATATGTGTATGTATATCCGTAATTGTATCTGAATGTGGATGCGTATATGGTTGTGCATGTGTATGAGTAAGAAAATGTGTATATATATTGTTATGTATTTCATGCTCCCCACGTTTTACGTTTTTCAATTTTTTTTAAATTATTATTCTCCACTACAAAAACGTGGTTTTTAAAAATATTATTTTTATTTCGATTTTCTTTTATACTCACTTCCAAAATCTCAATTTTTTCACTCACTGTACACAAAACTTATCAACTGACATGTGACACTAATTTGAAATAATCGAATCGACAACAAAGGACAACTGTGGAAATATTAAATTTTCTTTAATTTTAATTTTATTTTACTTTGTATGTCTTTTTTCTCTTCATTTTCATGTATTGTCATCCAATTCTGAACTATGTGGCAAATTGGATGTCTGTAGCTAGTCTGGAAGTTAGTTTAAAATCGATTACAAAATTCCTCCCGAACAGACATACACGAAGGCAAGTTGATATAAACGTGGTAAAATAAGATAGGCGTTAGCTATGCACTATAAATATTTAATGACTAAAACAGTTTCTCATTGTTGTATTAACAAAACCAAAAAATAACCAAGATTTCCAAGATTGTCTTCAGCATAAAATTACAGACGCTGATTGAAGTGTTCCAGCCAACGAGCGAACTATGGGAAAATTTTTAGGTTTATCTACTTATTTTACCCAATTATGGACCAGTTTCGTTCAAAACATTCTCCAAAAAAGTCTATCTCGATTTTTGACCTGAAATTTCGTCGTCGTCTGGGTTGGGTTCAACTTGCTGAAGGAAGCAGAGAAGAGAAAAAAGACGATTTTTAGAAACAAGTTTAAACCGTCAATCAGACTTATTATATAACACTACCTTTCCGCAATAGGGATTCCAGTATATATCTTCATTCTTGACAAAACTTGTAAAACTACAGATTGCGGAACATTCTAACACATATTCGTTACATGAATTTCAAAGCCGGAGTGAAAATAAATGGCTGTTTTTGCAGACTTATATTGACTCAAATAAAATTGAACAAAATAAAACAAATATACCTTATTTTCCATAGCATTTTTTTTTAGAAAGAATAAATAACTTCTTATTAAAATTGCGAAAGTCGATAGTTTCCTGACAAATTAAATGAAAATATATCTTATTACCTATAGCTTTCTTTTTAGAATAAATGAATAAGTTCTTATTTAAATTGAGAAAATCGATAATTCTCTTACAAATGAAATAAAAGGATCGAATAGTTTAAGCGGTATCTGTTCTGCTTATAAGTATTTCCCACAAAATAATCCAGAGTAGTTTTCAAACAAAAAAAGAAAAAAAAATTCTTTATAAATTTCTTTTTTTTTTTCTGTGCATCAAAGCTGAATTCCTCGAATTGTTCGCTTTTTTCGAATGCTTTAACTGTAGAATGTTCTAGCGTCTCTTAATCTTCAAAATCAAAGTAAAAACACATTTTAAACATGCTTACTTTTTTGAGAACACTATTTTTTTTTTGTTCAATAAAATATTTTACTGAGATTCTTTGGGATTTTTTTTTCGTGTTCATTTAACTTGAATCTTAATGATTATACTTTAAATGAATCCAACTTAAGAGAATTTAGCCCTTTTTTTCCTGATACCATTCCAATGATTGATTCATTATAATATAACCCTAAATTTCGGATTAGAGTTATTCAAGATCTCGACTTAAACTTCTTTTCAAGTTTAGAAGTATTAGCTGTCTACTAGACTCGACTGAGTTAAGATATAAATAATATTCTGAATTTGCTTGATAAGACATTGAAAAAAATTTTTATACTTGTTAAATAAAAAAATAATTCTATGAAAGCTTTACTTTCACTTTTGTTAAATAGTATTTTCACAGCATACTTTGTTCCAGATATTTTTTTTTTCATCAGTGATAGTTTTTGAGTAAGAATTCTTTAAATATTTTCACCTCAAAATGTTGCGCTTCAATAAAAAAAAAAGTTTTATTTTTTGTTAACTCAAATCCTTTAACTGACTTTCTCATATAACACAGATAATTTAATTTTCTCGATTTTAAACTTAAATCACTTTTGCTCTTTTTTAAAAGACTTTTGTGGTGAACGCCTTGCATTATCATGAGCTATATAAATAACAGTTCAGTTTTTTATAAAAAAAACTTTTATTCACAGAAACAAATAGTAACAAATATGAAGTACCCGTAACGGGATACTTATAATCTTATAAAACAAACTAGAAAAACCCGTAGCGTGTTATAAGAAAACACAAATTCCAAAACAAAACTAGTCTCTAAAAAATCAACAACTCTGTTCTTCTAAAAATTGTTATTCTAATTTTATAGTCTGCTTTTATTATTTTTTTTTATCTCTTTATGTGTTTATTTTATTTTATTCATGCTTTTGCTATCCCGTTATTTATTTCATATTTTTACCACTATTCATGCTTTTTCCAGCCAATTATTTTTTAAATATTTTTAGACTCTATAGCCTTAATGAAACCGCTTACCTCCTTGAAACTGGGTATAGTATATACTTCAGCTGAAAAGCCTATACCATTTATCTCATGACCAGAGGTTGAAAAAGATATTGGCTACCTAAGTAGACAACACAATTTCCTCCATTATTTTAATAAATCAAAATTTTATCTCTCCTGTTCTCCTTAACTCTAACTCCAACTTTTTACTAAAAGCTTTTTTGTAGCGTTTTAGAAATGACAGTTGAATGCCTTAACCACGGCTTCTCATTTGCTATAGTTGAAAAAATTTGTTTGGCAGAGATATGGCTTTCGTGCATAAAAGTTTGGTAAAGAATCCTTCAGCTTATAGTACAAATTTTAAAAAGATTTTAGTTTTGAATTTTACCATCACCATTTATGGTTAATAAATAAAAACAAATGTAATCACTGTTTTTATTATATATTATTAGAATCCCTGTCAAAGCCATTAGAATCTACTTGTTAAGGCTAACAAATTATTTTTAAATAAGGAAAAAAACACAAAAATCTTAATAAAGTCTGACAAAAAAAACAAAATCATTATACTTTAATAGTTAAAATTAATACACATGAAAAAAAAAATTATCTATTAAATAGAGTTCGCAAAAAATGTCTGTCGCAAAAAACTGTCGCAAAAAATGAGATAATTAAGACAAAACTAGTTTATTTGTCGAATTAAACTAAAAGACTTTGTTTCTTTACCTTTAGTTGATACCTTTCGAATTAATTTTGATTACTTTCAATCCGCTATTTCCCTGACTGGCTTTGATAGTAATTCGTCAGGGTTTGTTAATCTTTAGCACGTAGTGTATTAATATAAGATCATAAATCTCGGATGACTTAATTTGCAATAAGAGTTCCAAAAGTATTGGTTAAGAATTATAATTACAGATCACCTTAAATTTGTATAAGACATTTCCATGGACTTTCTTAAGGAATACATTGACACAGTTTTGAAAGATCCTCCATTAGGCGGTGAGCATTGTACTAATTTTTGGTAAAATATCTTCACTGCCATTCTGCCGACTTCTTTCAACAGCGCCATTTTACAGAAACTAGTTAGTCCGAGCATGAATTCGTCTTAGTAGCAATATTGTTTTTGAATCATTCTGGGGTCATACGATAGTTTTAATGTTATTCAACCAATTCCATCTCTCCGGTTTACCTTAACCACTTTACCTTAAAAAAACATCATTGTAGGGCATATCTGATGAATGAATACAGGCCGGTGGCACTTAATCTTAAAAAAACATCAGTGCATGGCATATCTGGCAGTGGCACTTAAACTTAAAAGATACATGGTATACTGGGCAGTTGCACTTAACCTTAAATAAACATCAGTTTAGTGAATTTCAATTCAAAGAGAGAGCTTTTTCTGATTCTTCATTTAAATGACCATGATTATCAAAACTAAAAACATATGTCGGGAAAAGTCACAGAACCCACTCTATGAAGAGTAGCAATTTGCTTCGGCACGAAAGCAATAAATTTTATTGATCTAACTGATCGATGTAATAGGCATTTTAACTCTATTAATACATATTGCATTTCTCTTGCAATTTATGTGTTTTTAATCATTATTTTCTTAACTGAGATATTATAAAGCGAGAGTATAAGATTTGTTTAGAATGATTTTAAAAAAATAAAAAATGTTTTTCAACGAACAGATTTTAAAAAACAAAAAATTCGAAATTTTATTAATTTAAAAGAATTTATTAACTTATTTAAAAGTTTAAACTGGTATAAGTTATGGTGTCCATAAGGGCGGCTAGATATTATTACATTATAATAAAATAGCAAACAAAGCACAGATTACGTCGTAACTGCAAGTCCTATCAACATTATTTTTCGAATAAAAATAAATGGATGATTGGCATAAAGTAGCGATAAAATTCCTAGCAGGGGATGTCGCTAACACTGCAAAGGCGGGCACAGATTATCGTCAACTACTAGCTGCTCTTATGGCAAACTCAAATTCGAAGTTGGGACCCAGAGAAAGATCGTGGGCAGGCGGAAGTGCGACTCCCGTCACTATGGTGACCATGGACCTCCTATCACTTTAGTGATCCCATTAAGTGGAGACCCCGAC